CCTAGGCCCTATGAACTGTTTTTTCTGATTTCCATGCTCCCTTCGTCTTTTGCAGGCCAGGAAATCAGGATCGTCTTCATCTCTGCCCCACAAACAGACGACGCTAGCTGCCTACTTTGACAAGACTCGCCCCTCCAGTCGGTCTGGTCGTTCCTCCTCCTCTGTCTCAGATCTCAGCGAGACCGGTGAGGATGAGGAGCAGAACCTGTCAGTTACCGGTCTTGGACCGGAAGTGAGCAGTGAGGATGACGGTTTCAGCCTCCTTTCGTGTACCGAATCATCTTCTTCTTGGGATCCTTTCGGACTCTCGAGTTCACAGTCCAGCGAGACTGAAACGGGCAGCACGCCAGAACCCGAAAACGAAGGTGATTCCCGAGGCGACCGTGAATCCGCCCGCCTAAAGGCTGCGCCTTGCACAAATCCCGTCGATTCCGCCACAGATTCCGTAAGTCGATTCTCATCACGCCGTTGCTTCATTAATGGCCTTTTTTTATTAGACCCAATTGTGCAAAACTTAGTGGCCTCTGTGGGATTCGAACTCATGGCAGCTGGGGGTAGGCTTTTGTACAGTCAACACTCTAGCCACCTGGTCTGCAAGGCCCCACTAGAACCCGTGAGTTTATTAACACTTGGGTAACGTTACTTGCTCAGAATATGGAATTTGTCAATTCGGATACAGTACGCTGAATGTCCAAGCAAGATTTCCTAAGCAATGTAGAATCAACAAGATGACTTCCGGGCACTTTTAATTAGTAGGGGAGTTTTGACAGATCGGAATAATTTATTTGATCCTTTGCGAAAAAACCTTGGCTGTAATAAAGCCCTTCCCCATTTCCGTCATGGCTTCCAATCCCACCGAGTTTTTCGTATCTGAGCTATATTAATTATTTAAATCTACCGAAGCCTCCATTAATGACCTTTTTTGCCCAGTTCCCACTTTTTTTCCTTTCGCTCTGTAATTATATGGTCTAAAAGGAGTTATGGTGCACTTTTGGATCTTTTTGTGTGCTTATATTTGTATACTAGCGCGGAAGCCCGGCTTCGCCTTGGGCTTCCTTACATGTTGTTG